TATACCTTTATCAAATAATACTGTGCGTAGTCGAATTCAGGACTTATCACACGAAGTTAAAGACACCATAATTTCTCGTATCGGTCAAACAAAATTTTCGTTACAACTTGACGAATCTACGGACGTCGCCGGATTAGCTGTGATGATGACATTTGTACGGTACGAATTTTCTGGTATTTTTCATGAAGATATTTTGTTCTGCAAACCAATTCCATCCTCAACAAGCGGAAGTGAAATTTTTTCTATGTTTGATGCCTTTTTCATTGAAAACTCAATACCATGGAACAATTGCATTGACGTGTGCACAGATGGTGCAAAGGCCATGGTAGGTAATGTTGCTGGCGTTATTGCAAGGATCAAAAAAGTTTCACCAAATTGCACGAGTAGTCATTGTGTATTACATCGACATTCCCTCGCAACGAAAAAAATGCCAGTGTTATTAAAGCAAGTGCTTGACAACGCCGTTAAAATTATTAACCATGTTAAGACACGACCTTTGCAGTGTAGACTGCTCAAAATACTATGTGAAGATATGGGAGCTTTATTCAAGTCATTGTTATTACACACAGAAGTACGGTGGTTGTCGCGAGGTAAAGCATTGTCCCGCTTACTTGAACTTCGAACGGAAGTTTTTTCAATTTTGAAAGACAATAATAGTTTGCTAACAGATTATTTGAATGATCAGGAATGGTTGTGCAAATTATGTTACTTGGCAGATATTTTTTCAAAAATGAATGAATTTAGCACATCTATCCAAGGAAAACAAAAGACAATATTTGATGCTAATGATAAAATTTTTGCGCTAAAGAAAAAAATAGCATTCTACATTGAAAGCGTCGACAATAAAGACTTGACATGTTTTTCATTGACTTCAAACTTTTTATAAGAAAACGAATTAAAAATAAATGAATCATTCTTAGAAATAATTAAAGAACACCTCAATAATTTACTTCAAAATTTGAATTCATACTTTCCAAAGGATGTTCAAGAATCGATTCGAAAAAACTATGAGTGGATTCTAAATCCATTTTCAATGACGTCAAAACCAGCAGCTCTCAATGCAGTAGAATACGAGGTTCTTATTGATATGGTTTCGGATAGTTACTATCAGACATCATTTAAAAGCAAACCAATATCTGAATTTTGGGCTCAGTTAGGGAAAGATCATTCAATATTAAGTTCAAAAGCTAAACTGCTTTTACTGCCTTTTGGTATTACGTATCTTTGTGAAACCGTTTTTTCGAGGTAAACAGCTACAAAAACCAAATATCGATCATGTTTGGATGCAGAAGACGATATGCGTCTTCAACTGACTTCTGTGATACCGGACATCGACAAACTTAGTAGTAAAAAGCAGGCCCATTGTTCACATTAAGACTCACCCAATAAGAAGTATAAATGTAACGCTGTATTAATTTTAAATATTTTTTTAACTAGTTTAATTCTAATTTTGTAGATTTCAATAATAAACAACATTTTCTCCAGTTCTTGTAAAACTATTGTTTCCTTTATTCATAAATATAATTTTATTTTGACTCCCGTATGTATACAGTTCGTGTTAATCATACTTCATAGAACACAGTCAAATGCAAATTAACGTTAAATTTTTCTTGGGGCTCCACGAGAAACTTCTCCTTAAAAAAAGGCTCCGAGGCTGAAAAAGTTTGGGAACCGCTGGTGTAATCCAAAAAGAATTATTGGCTTTTGTATGGGTAGTCAAACATTTCAGACCATATTTATGACGTAAATTCAATATTATCACCGACCATTGACCACTTACCTATTTAATCGGGATAAAAAACGTTTCATCACAACTTATGCGATGACGGTTACAACTTGAAGAGTTTGACTATTCAATAATTTATCGGACCGGTTTCGAACATTCTAATGCGGACTGTTTATCACGTATACATATTGTACAAGACGTCGATACAAGCGACGCCGAGTATCATAAATTTACTAACGCAGAAAAGACACCTATTTTTAATTCTAAAATTATCGAAGTAGAAAATAGTATTAAAAACGTGCGCAGCACCGAAAACTTATTTATACCCATACCACATAATCCCGCTGTTAGAGAATTAATTAAAACAAATAAAATTGACACGATAGAATTCAAGTACGATGACAAAGTCTTAACAATAGAAAACACGGATAGGCCTATATTTTTTTATGCAATAACAGCAACACATACAACAAAAATCACGGTACACGATATTTTTAACAAACGGCAACTTGCAAAAGGGATGATGTTCGATTATTTTGCGTAATTTGAATTGCCCTCGGTCTTGGACCTGGGTAAGAAAGTGACCGCGCTTCGTCACCAACGAAGTTGGCAACACTGCATCGCCGTCGCCCTGGTCCGGTCGACGGCGCGTGCACCGCCGCTAACGGTCGTTTTTGTGCGCGGTCTGGCTGTTCTGTTGAAGCTTTTCACGACGATCAACGTTATTGTTTTTGCTCTTGCGCACATGCTTTTGTATCAACATATTCTCGTCTGTGGCCGCCATTACGGGCATCCACGTGTTCCGGTCCGGATTTACAGTAGCTGCTCACCCGTCGCCATCTATTGCCAGCTCCGGCCTTCAGAGCGGTGTTCCCCGTTACCTCACCATTTATATATTTGGTTGTATATATGTTTCGCATAAGTCGATTAATAAATAAATCGTATAGGTCTATTACCCAAAAATATAACTTGTACACATTGTTAATATTATATATACTTTGTATTGTTTTTTATTATTATTATTATTCTCACGACGGTCCGGAGGACTCAGCGTCCGACGTACGCCTGAGTAAGGCCCGTTGGCGCAAACACAAGTATTACTACAAGCGTATCTATACACACTTATACTGCCGTCCTAAGGAAGAATGCCGTAAGTTTGCTTTATGCCATTTCGAGAAAAATGAATTTTTATGTTTAGTAGTTTTTGGTAGTTCTATTTTCATAAATATAATATTTTTCAAAGTAAAATACATATTTTCTTACGGAAATATACTCAATGAATGCAATGGAACTATTCAATTTTATTTAAAATTTTTAATTCACCAAAATATGCTTGTTTTGATATTCATACTAAGTACGTACTTAATTATTTAGAATAGGTTACTTGGCAAAAATGCCGTAATTTTATCTTGAAATCAAAGTCATCTAGTCATTATACATTTTTAATATACATAAAAATTAAAATTAAAATTAAAATTAAAATATATGCAAATATGAGATACACAAAATAAATTATTAAAAAAGATACATGCAGCAGTTTAACATATTATATAATTTAGATGAATTATTGTTTATGCACCGTTATATTTTCCCAAAATTGTTTTCTATTTTTTGGGAGAATTTGACTCAAATTTGAAAGAATATCGTCACGTTTTTCTTTTGGTATTCTACAGTTTTCTTTATGCGAAGATGGCAGAGTCATTCCTTTTTTGTTCATATACTTTTTTTGAACGAAATCTAATGTTATGTATTGTTCATCATTAAACTGATTTTTAGTAAACAATACGTATTTTCCAATGGGCAGCACAACCAACTCCAATTAATTGTTTTCCCAGCTTTCCTTGTAATTTATGAAACACATTATTAATGCCACGTCTTGAAACACCACCAAAATAACAGTTGATGTCCCTACAAAATGCAGCTACTTTATTTCTAATGTTATTATCATCTATTGTTTTTACAATATAATTTATAATAATATCAGAAGTTTCACCTGGCTGAGACTCAACATTTAATATTTTTATCTGAATTCCATATAGAAGGTCAAACAATCTAACAAGCAAAGGAAACAACTTAATATTTCCATGGTTTGAAGCATCAGTTAAAATACTTATGCGATTTGCGTTTTTAAGCTGATTAGTTAGAATATCAATTGCATATGGAGCAAAAACATTGGTTACTATTTTTTCACACTTTGTTCTGGCACAATGAAATTTAGGTTCAAAACAAGCCTGTGTAAGTTTAGAAAAGTAGTCATGCGAACGAAATCTCTGATTTTCAGAAACTGTATGGTATGCCCAAGCACCTTCTGCAGCTGCTATTTCCAAATATCTTGAACTTGGTGCGCTACTTTTATAATATGTCGTTAATGACTTACTTGATGAAACGGCTATATCTGCAGATTTATATTTAATTGATTGAATATGTCTTTCAATATCATATCCATCTCCGTATGAAATACTGAAAGTTCGTTTACATTTTCCACATAGTAGTTCGGAATCAGATCCGTTGATTTATTTTAGGAAACTGTACTTATTTCGAAGTTCAGGCGTAAATCGACACAAACGTTTAGGTTTACCCATTTTGGTTAAATATGATTTATGAATTGACATGTTCACTTTACGTTAAGGGTTATTAATTATAATACGAAATACGAACACCGGTCGCCGGAATTCTGAATGGGAATTATCCATGATAACAGCCTGCTCATATCACAGAATAGATGAAATTTCATCTAAGATAGTACTATCTTTAATTGTGCTTGTATCTATTCATTATTGCAGTGCCGCAAAATTGATAATAATTCTAATCAGTGACACAAGAATATATTATTATCATTTCATGATTGCAAGTCTGATACAACGTCCTGTAGAGTGTAGAATCATGATAAAACATATTATATACAATATACTTATTAATACATACATAATACAATTCAATTTTCATATTTCATAAATGCGGGACAAAAGTGGGACATTTAGATATGCGGGACGCTCCTCTGAAAAACGGGACAATCCCCCCTAATGGGGGACGTCTGGTCACACTAAGTAAATTCCCTATTATTTCTTTTACATTATTATTTATTATTAACTGTGTTTCTAATTTATTTAAAAATGTTTCATAACATTCACTTTTTATATCCTCTATAGTATACATTCTACTAAGTGCATCTACATTTGAATTTAATACTCCTGGTTTATATCTAATTTCATAGTCATGTTCTTCTAGTTGTATTCTTCATCGAGCGAGTTTTGATAAAGGATTTTTTAAATTAAATAACCACGTTAACGGTCTATAGTCGCTCACAATTATAAATTTTCTTCTATATAAATATGGTATAAATTGATTAACCCTGAATATTATTGCTAAACATTCTAGTTCTGTGGTACTATAATTACTTTCACTTTTATTTAAAGTTTGTGATGCATATACTGTAGGTAAATCTTTTCCTACTCCCCCTTGAGATAAAATTGCTCCTAACGCTTTGTTACTCGCGTCGGTTGTTAGTATAAATGGTTTTGTAAAATCTGGGCACTATAATGTAGGTTCTGAATATAATGCTCGTTTTAACATTATTGTTTTGACATTCATCTATCCAATTAAATTTTATATCTTTTTTAAGTAAGTTTGTTAATGGTTTTGCTTTTGTACTATATGATTCTATAAATTTTCTGTAATAACCTGATAATCCTAAAAATGATTTAATACCTTTTGCATTTATCAATGTCGGAAATTCTAACACTGATTTTATTTTAGTTATATCCGGTTTTATACCATGCTCTGTTATTACATGACCTAAATAAATACATTCTCTTTTTAAAAATTCGCATTTATCCGGTTGTATTTTTAAATTGTTATTTATTAGTCTCTCAAATACTTCTTTTAATTTGTTATTATGATCGCGTAAATTTTTTCCATATACTATTATATCATCTAAGTATACTAAACATTTTATTTCTATTATTCCCGATAGTACGTTATTCATTAACCTCTGAAATGCTGCTGGTGACGTTTTCATGCCTATTGCCATTCTTTTAAAATGCCAATGCCCTCGATTAGTTGAAAAAGCTGTTAATTCCCGATATGTTTCTGATAACGGAATTTGATAAAATCCTGACGCTAAATCAATTACACTAAATAATTGACATTGTCCTAATTGA